AGAGAAAGTGATGAATAAGAGTCTCCAAGTGCCCTAGCTTGATCTTCATCACCATTGAAGGCCAGTTTGAGCTTGGAGAAGTGCCGATCAATGTCCAGGAGCAGGAATCCATCCTTTACAGTATGAATTCCGCGTCTGATTCTGCTTTTGCTTCTTTCTCCATGGAGTAGTTCTCCCATTCATCTGGGTATGGAGAACCCTAGATTTGTATGTTAGGCTTTGATTGTATGAACCCAAGTACTGAATCTATGATTTGATTATGTTCAATTGAGGTTTGAATGATTGAATGACTTGAATCCTGATAAAATTCCTGTTGTTTATGCTTTAACCTAGAATGAGAATATCTGCCTAGGTTGATAGAGCATCCTTGATTGAAGATAGGGAGTTGGTGACTTTAGTCGAGGAACCAACTCACTATTCTGTACCGGATTCACTTCGGTAGTGGAGGTTTTGTTCTTAGGGCCTCAATCTGTTTACTCCGGTGGAGGTTAGTCGCCCGTTAGAGACTCAGATTGAGAGGGTCTGAAGACCTTTAGTCGAGACTTCAGGCTGTTTAAGAACCTTCCGCAGTATAACTATCATAGAAACTGAACTTGGTAATTACAATCCGGCTTAGCTGCAGTCTAGGGGGAACCATATCCGGGTGACCTCTCTTAACCTGAATACAACTGTTTACTTGCTTTGTTAGTTTGTTGGTTTAGACTTGCATTAAAGTTTCATTGCTAGATAACAAGAATTCACCGAGTAGTCATCAAATCTAGGACCCGGGTTGACATTTAAACCCAAACCCGCTATACTACGCTTTAGGAAGTGGTTTCACTTGGCCAATTCCTGGAGTGACAGTAGAAGTGAGTCAACACTCCCACCGTGGATACCAGATGTTTGGCCATCTCCAGAATGACCTACACCGCCTTCGACGACCTCGGTGTAAACGAACATCTCCGCTTGCTTAATTTTATTGGTGGTCAAAAATTGGACCATGGCATCAACGTCCTCCTGAGTGGTAAGGAGGAATTCCTCATTCCACAGTGACCCGTCATGTCTGTTTGGATATCGATACACCATTTGATCAACTCTTCTAGTGCCATCCATGCTGGTAATTTGAGTGCACATTTGATGGAGCTCTTCAAGCATCGGTCTCGTACGGACCTTCATTTTATAAAAATTGCCACCGACGTAACTTACACCCTTTTCGGTCTCTTCCGTGTAACCATTCCACCGCAACCCAAGCGTGAACCTTCGGAATGCCATCTGCAATAAATCTGTAATTAAGTTACTAACATAAAATCACAAAGGACAATGAAAAGTAATACAAAACAAACTTACGAATTAACGTTAATCGCAAAAACTAAATAATTTAAAGGTGCACAACTGAAATTTGAAGAAGAAGGAGGAGTGAAAATTTTGAGTGAAGAGTTTGAGTTCTCTGGAACAGTCTTTTATAGGCGAATTTCACAAACCGCCATTAGGGGAAGCCACATAAACCGCGCCTTAGAGGTGCAGTTTTTAATAAACGGTGGTATTTTTGGAAATTGTTGGGAATGTGTGGTATTTTTGTAATTTTTTTTAAACAGTGGTAGTTTTGGATTTTTTCCCCAATTCTGACCAACACTTTGGATAGAACTGGAAGGAAGAATCAAGTGAGAAGGTTCCAATTCTTGGCCTCATGTCTTGCTCATGAAATTTTTCCCCCTTTCCTTTCCTCTTACTGGACCTCTATTTGATTTCCCTTTTTCTCTGTAGAGTTTCAAGGAGAAGCTGCAGAATGGAACAAGGAGGTTTATGGGAACATTTTTAGAAGAAAGAGGCAGCTCCTTAATGAACTCTACTCCTTGAACATCATTAACCAAAGGATACCAACTACAAACTCCCTTGCTAGAGAACAAAGCAAAAGAGAGGAGTTAGAGGAAACCCTTTGGCAGGAGGAGCTTCTGTGGATCTAGAAATTGAGAACTAATTGGTTGGTGAAAGGTGACCAGAACACAAGGTATTTTCACTCCAACACCATCAATAGAAGAAAGAGGAGCATAATCAACTACCTCAAGGACGACCAGGGGCAATGGATTGATGATGAGAGCATCCTCCAATCTATGGCCAGGGAGTATTATCTTAATCTCTTTACTAAAGATCTCTTAAGCACTGGACTTAGGGTACCTGTTGATTTTCCTATTGTGAATGAAGATTTGCTTAGGAGAATGAATGAGTTCCCTAACTTTGAGAGCATTAAAGTTGTTTTCATGGAAATGATGGCCTTAAAGCACATGGGAAGAATGATTTTCAGGCAATTTTTTTACCAAAAGTGTTGGGAATCCATTGGACATGATTTTTCTGCTTTCATCCTCTCTTGTTTTCATTTTCCTGGCAGAATTCATACCATTAATGAAACCTTGCTTACCTTAATTCTTATGGCGGATAATCCTGCCTCGATGAATCAGTTTAGACCTATTAGTCTTTGCAATGTTGGGTATAAGGTTGTGGCTAAGATTATTGCTAATAAGTTTAAACCCCTTATGCCTTATCTTGTCAAGAAGAATCAGTCTAGCTTCATTTCTGAGAGACACATTATGGATAGATAATATTATTTTGCAGGAGTCAATTCACACTATGTCATGGAGGAATGGCAAGAAGGGACACGTGCTTCTCAAAATTGATCTTGCTAAAGCCTATGATAGGCTGGACTGGGATTTCCTTGAAGAAACCCTCAAAGCTGTAGGGATCTCTCCTCACCTCGTCCATCTTATAATGAAGTGTGTCACAAGTTTCCAAGTGCTGTGGAATGGAAGTGAAACTGAGAGCTTCAAGCCATCTCGCGGCCTGAGATAAGGATGGCCACTCTCTCCCTACCTTTTTACTCTTTGCATGGAAAGAATTAGTCACTGTATTCTTGATGAAGTGGGTAAGGGTAAATGGACTTCATTGAGAGTCTCTCCAGGAGGACCGACTCTTTCCCATATTTTCTTTGATGACAATTTAGTGCTGTTTGCTGAGGCTAATTCTAGGAATGTTGATTCTGTGTTGGATTGACTGGACAAGTTTAGATAAGCCTTGGGTGAGGTTGTTAGTAAAGAGAAATCTAGGGTTTTCTTTGGTAAGAATGTCAAGAACCAATGTAGAAAAGACAAGTGTAGTAAACATGGCATTCTTGCTACCAATGACCTTGGTAGATATCTAGGTGTTCCTATCTTGCATGGTAGAATTACAAAGAACACCTATAGGTACATCATTGATAGGATTGAGCATAAGCTGTTGAGTTGGAAGGCCAAAAACCTTTCCCTTGCTGGTAGAGTTACTCTTACCATGTCTGTGTTAAATGCACTTCCTTCCTATGCTATGCAAACAACAATCCTGCCTATCTCTATTTGAGATACCATAGATAGGAAGTTAGAGGTTTTGTGTAGGGGTCATCGAATGATAAGAACAAGCCCCACTGTTTCTTGGGATAGAATATGTAAATCAAAATATCAGGGTGGCTTGGGATTAAAGTCTGCCCACAATATGAATATGGCTTATATGATCAAGCTCGGTTGGAATATGTTGAATATAGATTATGATCTTTGGGTTCAGGTTTTACAGAGAAAGTACTTTAAACATAAAGGATGTGATATTGTTACAATGAAGAAGTGCAACCACTCTAGCCTATGGAGGACAATCCTCAAAGGAATGGAGTGGATGTAAGAGGAAACAGTGGAGTATTAGAGATGGGAGATCCACGAGCTTCGGGATCCAACCATGGCTGGAGAATGGTGTCATTTTGAAGGACCACTGCATAGCTGATCTCTCCGAAGAGAAAGAAGTGTCAATGGTGGCGTACATGACCACTAATGACGGTGAGTGTTACTGGATGCGTCTGAAGCAAGTTCTTCCTGATGCTTTCCTTGCTTCTATTGCAAGGGTGGAGGCACCTAAGCAGCACCTGGGGGAGGACAAAACCCTTTGGGGACTAGAAAGGGATGGAAGATTCCGTCTGAAGTCAGCGTATCAACTTGTGGTAGATGAACTTGATGTGGAGCAGAACAACTCCTGGAAAAGACTATGGAAGTGGAAGGGGCCAAGCAGGATCATACACTTCTTATGGCGTGTCCTCCAAGATTGCCTCTTCACCAACAAGGAGAGAACTAGAAGGAAGATTACTACTGACAGCTCCTGCCCACACTGCAAGCACCATGAAGAGTCAATTGATCACATTCTTAGAAGTTGCACCAAGGCCAAGAGCATTTGGGAGAAGATGCATCACAAGATTGCAGAAAAGAACTCACAGCTTATGATGCAAGAGTGGCTGATTGTCAACCTTTGCGATGAGAAAACGGGTGTGGATTTTGGCATTCTTTGCTAGCACCTATGGAAGCAAAGAAACTAGGAGGTTATAGATGGGAAGACCTTCTCAAAGGATAGACTTCTTGCAATGCCCCAGAATGGTAGCGCTGCTGCTGGCGGTCTTCTCAATGATCATCTGGGGAACTGCGGGGAAGCGTTTGTCTGCAGCCTTGGGAACTGCTCTATTATAGCCTAGAAGCTCAAAGGAGAAATTGATGGACTCAATCTTGCAAGGAAAAAGGGGAATCGAAAGATCAACCTCAACATGGATTCTACTACAACGATTGACATCATCAAAAACTGTGAGAATGATCATCACCGCCATGGAAGCTTCTCACAACAGTTTAGACATCTTTTGAACCTCGAGTGGGAGGTTACAATTTCACATGTATACGGGAATGCCAATTTTGCAGCCAACTACTAGGCGAACTTGGGCCATGATTTTTGTTTTGGTACACATAATCTCAATGTAAGGGGATAGAGGTTTAGTGCAATGGCTTCGGCATGATGTAATGGGTGTTACACATAAACGTTCTTCTTTTATGAATTAAATGCTTTTGCGTCGATCTTTCTACAAAAAAAAAAAACCAATGATATAATAATGTATAGAGTTCATACCGTTTAATGATCAAATCTTTTGTTTCCGACAAAATAATAGTCAAATCTTTAAATGATGTCACAACCGTTTAATGATCAAATTTTTAATGATGTCACAAAAACAATTAGTCTTTAACTTTAACGATGTCGTTACCAAGGCTGCACATCAACATTCACGTTAATTAATACAATACAAGGGCTATTTGATTAATAATAATAACGAGTCCACAAGATTCACTTGCTAAGTTGCCATTATTTTATTAATAATAACGATCGAGTGCCACATTTGTTTATTTAGCAATCAATTATTAGCAGTTGTGTAACTTCTCAGCCTTAGACGAAACAGGAAACTCATCAAGAACTTTGACAGACTGATCATCTGTGACTTCCTCAAGGGAGTATTGGGTTCCCTTTGATAATCTTGTCGTTGTTAGTGGCTGTTGCAGCACTAGAAACAAACCCAACGCCATCTTGCTTCGTATTCCGTCGCCTGATTCGGCGATTGCATCTTGCTTTATGATTCCATCACCGTCTGGCTTGATGGGTCCAGCAGCAACAGTACCCTCTTGCTTTATGCTTCCATCACCCTCCCTGTGATTCCTAAGCTCATGACATTCGCGGGTAAATTTAACTTCTTGAAAATGGTATTTCACAAATGTAAAATTTGTACCGTCAAATATTTTTTATTTTAGTTAAATGCAGGAAACAAAGAAAGAATCTATTAATGTGAAGTAATGGATTCAGTGACGAATATAACTACATAAAAAAAAAAGATAGTTGATGTTGGATATAAAGAAATTTCAACAATGAGAGGAAATAGTGAAAATCATGCTTCAAATTTTACAATTATAGTTCGGATTTCAATAAATTGCAAAGAGAAGATAAAAAGATTATTGATATAAAGCTTTCATTAGTGAATATGAATCGAGATAGAGAAGATAATGTTTTTTTATGATGAAGTGGTCGCACAAAAAAAAAAAAATCCAAAAGAAATTTTGTAGAAATTTCTAACAAACTGAAAATTTCATTAATTCCTAGCAACGGGAGTAAATAGAAATACCCTTTGATTAACATTTTTTTGGAAACTCATTCCCTTGCATGAGTTGTGTGGTTTTACTTTTGGTATGGTAAGGACTTTTATCCATGATTGAACAAGATAACATTATCGGAGCAACTATTATTACTGTTTATACCGTTTATATAACTCATCCGACCAAAGACCGCGCCCAAATCGGGTGGGTTCAGTAGAAGAAACCCATCCAGCAGCAACTGTACCGTCCTGCTTCAGAATTCCATCTCCTTCGGGGCGGATGGCTGAAGCAACGTCATGAACCGCTGCCGAGACCAGTAACATGATGAGCATGAGTGCACCCGCAGAGAAAGAGCAGTTCGTCATAGCTAGGATGGAATAATTAATGTTATTGGATAATTATTGGTGAATGGTGTGAGGGGTGAGGAACTGATAGATTGGAAGTGTGGGCTTTTATAAGGCTGTCGAAGAGAGTAGGTTACGTGGTTTGGGCAGAGCAGGGAGTTAGAGGTGCAAAAAGAGTGATTGAGTGAGTAGTGGCGGATTAAGGGTTCATGTTGGTGGTGATGTACAATAGTATGCTAGTATCGCATCAATGCTAGCTATTTGAGTAATTGCATATGTCATGCTGCACTCGATTTTTCATTAAAGTATGATGTGGCATCCACGTACTACGACATGTTGAGTTGTTGCTGACGGAATTTCTAACGTCTTTGTCGTGTTAATGTAATTGATGGAATTTCTAACGTCGTTAAAGTTTTAAAGGGAGTGGCTAAATTTGTCAAACGTATTTCCAAAATCTGGATATTTTGTGTATTTCTCTGAAATTGGCTATTATTGTAACAAAATTGATGGTTATGACTATACAAGTGGATTTTTATAAATGCTCAATTGAATTCTAAATAAATAAAAATCAATTAAAACTAAACAATAACACTGATTAGACGGAAATATTGAAAGCGATTTCGGTTTTACCATTAGGTGATCTGGTTAAACGAGGTCAAACCTTGGTCCACCTTGCGGTCAAATCAAAACTCGAGTTTGATTCAATCTTTGGACAGATCAAGATTTTCCATAACTTTGAATTATACACCTAATCTTTTCCAATCTTGTATACATTATTTCAAATTAAACCTGTGTTTCTGTCACCTTATTTATTGAGAAAATTTTCTTAATTACATAAGTTCCTATTAGGAATAAAATTTATTTTCATTCTTGTGAAAATGGAAACTATATTAATTTTGTTATATTATGATTAGGAGAAATAAACACATGGGTTGACCCAATCAAATTTGTAACCCAACCTATATCTGACCCAAAAAACTCGTAACCCATTCAACTCGTAACCCATATGTCGACTGTCGTAGGTTGTAACGGACTAACCCAATGGATTTGTAACTTGACCGAAACTGGAGTCGATCCTGATGGAAACCAACCCAACCCGCTCTTTGACGCCTCTGAGACTGTGTCACTGCGAGCTAGTAACTACCTCTGTTCATTTGGTCTAAAAAAACAGGCGAAGACCAGAAAATTCATCAGCTCTTCCCCATCTAGTCAGCTTACTATCCAGAGTCCAGACATCCAGAGACAAAGGCGTTAAATCCCTCTCCAAACAATGGCGGATGCAAAATCTAAGTTCATGGAAGTCTATTCAATCTTGATATCGCAGATTTTCGAAGACCCTCCTTTTGAATTCGACATGATGTCTAGACAATGGGTGGGCTTCCTCCTCTGTAAGAGGTAGTCAATATTAGGGTGGAAATTTGGGTTGCGGGTTGTGGATAATCCACAAACTGCACCAACCCGTATCTAATGTGGGTAACCATACCCACAAGTTGTGGGTAGTAAAATAACGATTTTTGTGGTTAGTGGTTATCCACTACCCACCACGGTTAACCCACAAAATCCACAATAACCACACTAATTATATTTATTTAGTGAATTAACTTTATATTATAATAGTATGTGAAAAGTGCGAGGATACAAAAATTAAAGTAGCCACCAAATAAAAAGACACACCTAATCAGTTTTATGTAAGAATGTTTTACTTTATAAAACACTATAATCGATAGAGTGGAGAATAATTAATTCATTAAAAGTGAACACCTTATGTAACTTTTATGAGGATGTTTTTGCTTTTGTGTGAAAAAAATATAGGATCATATTTAATTGTCATATTTCACCCCTAGTCGGGGAAATATGAAATCACATCTTTCTGACACAAAAGTTGAATACCAACTCAAAAAGAAAAAATCTCCATGTTGAGTAAGATCGATGTACAAAATTGTATCTCCACTAACAATACAAGGGTATATCACTATAGTCTAGTTACGAACAACAATTACGATAGTGGCGACTAGAACTCTATGCTTGCAAAGATAGATTTTTGCGGGTAACCACACCCAACCAGCACAAATCCACAGTGGGTAGTCGTTACCCACTAACAACTGCGGTGCAGGTTGTGGGTAGCATAATTATAAATTTGTGGGTGTGGGCACCCGCAAAATGTGGGGCGGGTAACCACACCCACCCCAACTTCCACCCCTAGTCAATAGAGTTGTAATACCATATTGATGGGAGAAGGAAAATATAAAAATTGAGTTTTTTGACAGTTTAATTAATTAATATTAATTTATTAGCGTTTGAATATTGTGAAAAGAGGTATCATTTCGGAAAGGTAACTTTTTTTTGTGTGAAAGGATGTGTCCTTTCGGGAAATGTAACTACCTTTTTCCCGTGAAAGGATGTGTCTCTCCGGAGGTAACTTCCAGTTTTCACAACTATAAATAGATGACTGCCATAACTTTTTTTGATGACGAGAGATTCTTCTTCCCGTTTTCCTAGGAACGGATTAGGTCAGTAACTTTATGATGAGTAAACATGAGTAACCCGTCCACGTCAGCATGACATCAGCATCCATATCTCTCCTAGAAAGCCTTTAATATTCCCCTCCATAATCTTTGACGGACGATTCCTCACTCGTTTTAAGTCGAAATTTAATTTTTTTTTGCTCAGTTAGATCATATTATTTGTGCTCTTCAAAATGATATCCACTTTTATATATTTTTCAAACAAAAAGATTGAGCCATTTTTTACTAGTCTATACCATATGGTATTGACTAGTATTGAAATAAGAGCATACATATGGTTTGAAAAGCGTACCATGGTGGTATGAACAAACCAAGACTGTAAGATGGTTGAATCCACGAAAGTAGAAATATATTAACTGCCATTTACGACTTTTAACATTGTCTACCACAAGATACCACCCCGTACCAGGTTGGTATTGTGTGGTATTTTTTGGTCCTACAATTTGTCCACCCAAAAATTAGTAGATCCAATAGATCATGATGAACTCGTTCCTTCTGTGCAAACATTTTCAAAAACGAATTTAAAACGAAGTAAGATACCATATGGCATGCAGTAGGTACTAAGAGGCAAGAATTTTTTTTTCTCAAAAAATATTAAAAATGGATCTCATTTTGTAGAGCACAGCGAACTCGTTCCATCTATGCAAAAAAAAAAATTATAATCCGAGTTAAAATGAAGAAGATATGAGTCGATTAAGAAAGCTAGGAAAAATAAAAATGACCTTTAATTCTCCATCCTTAAATCTGGATTTTCTAAATGAAGGGTCCAGATTTAGTTATTAATGGATGCATAACCATTATGTACCCTATCTTGAGCCCGTTTTCCTTCTCTATTTCATAAACACAGAAGTTTGCAAGATTGTTTCTTCCAGACTTAGAATTGAAGGGACTCCTGGGGGTTGTTTGCTCGAGCCTACCAGCAATTTGTAGTGGAGGCAAATAACACTCTAAGGAGAGTGATCTAATCACGCCTTCAATCGATTATTTCCTACCAGTTTCTGACAATTTTAGAGTGTCATTTAGTTCGAAAATGGATTTTGAAGTGGAGAGTACGTTGAATGTATATGATTCTAATTTCAACAAAATTGTTATTTTCCCCCTTGGTTCCGAAGAGGAAAAGGTCGCATTCGATAGTCGTACAAATGTAGGTGCCTGTTCCTTTAACTTTTGGGGGTCGTTTGAATGGATAAATCTATAAATGAGTCAATTTGATCAATTGTCTCGTTTTATAAACGAGGCAATTAAAACGAGTCAATTCGAATTACCTACCCCACCCCAGGTAATTGAAATTGACTCAGAACGGATCAATTCAAAATACCTCAGACAGATTGATCCATCCAATATTTTTGCTGACAAACGAGGCAATTTGGTACAATTGTCTCAAAACGAGACAATTATGTCAAATTGATCCGTTATAATTCCTCATCCAAACGACCATTGGTGTAATTTGCATCTAAGTGCTGGTTACTTTCCAAAAGAAAATTGGATCATAGAATTTGATTGTTTATCATTTTCCGTGTGTTCAATCTTCTGGTTATATTGACTTCGACTCTTAAAATGGAATGATCGGTTGCTTATAACCAGCCCTTTTATTTATACATAAGGTGGATTGGTTATTAAGAATGGATGATATAAATATATGCATGCTTTCAGTAATTACCGGTTTTGCTCTTCCTGTCATTAGAGAGGAGAAAGAAGGAAAGGAATTGAGTTCTTGTAGAAATGGGAATCTCTAATATATAAATTGTGCTTTGGCATGATTAATGGAACTGTGATTGCATGCAAAGTGATATCTCCGATAATTCAATGGAGTGAATTTTTCTAGGCAAAAATTGCCATGTCTATTGTTGTATGAAATTAAAAGTTTCATTGAAGGAATCAATTTACTACATATTTGTTTTCATGAGTTGTGCATGGTTTGGTCATGTTCATGATGCAATTTGTGTACAAGGAAATATGATGAATCAATTCTGTGTCGTTAAATGATATCGAATACTTTTGTGTATTTGAGATGAGAACAAAATCATAATTCATATTATGAGAAAGTTAAAAAAAATTCAATTGTGTTTGAATTTGGAAGAATTCACGTTGAATACTTGAAACAAATTTTGTCACCAAAATTTGTATGAGTTTCATTTTTTATGCTTGTAAGATGCAACAATTTGGTTTATGTAACAAAATTGTTTGAGTTGTGATCTTGAAGTAAACTCAAATAATGGTGAAAAGCGTTCCCCCAACTTGATAATTTGTTTATCATGTGTGTGGTTTATGAATTCATGTTTCCTATGTCATGAGGAAAAGGAAAATGAAACTAAGATGGATCCTTATAGGGATTGAATAAGCTTGTCAAATAATGGTGGTCATCAAGATAAACATATGGTCAGAATTGTTTATGGTATATGTATACTATACCATTGGAAACAATTTGACTTATGATTATTATGTGAAAACTATTTGTTAGAATTGTTTATAGTATATATAGACATATACCATTGGCAAACAATTTGACATGAGAGCTCAATTGAGATGATCTTATTGAATTTAAAGTCTGAATTACTT